CGAATAGACACGAGGTAACAATGGAAGATGTGTCTCAGAGGAGGAAAGTTATTGCTCGTTGCTAGGCAACAGCTGATCAATGAAGACGCTTGCTAAGAATAACAGGACTTATTCTTTATGTGGGCTTCCTTATGCAACAGTAGAACTGGATTTTCTGTGCGTGGTTCGTGCGAAGACTATATAACGAGAGTAACACCAGCAGTTAGTTCTAACCCGTGTGGAGGCGGAGGAGAATACCTCCACCGTGACCATTAGAGTCGTAGGAGGCGATGAAAAGGGAAGTCCCAAGGGACTCGGACCCGATAAAGACTGCGCTGGCAAGGACCAGCAGCATATACAAAAGAAAGACCCGTTCTCTCGTCAGAGAGGGCGCCCCCAAAAACAAAACCGTAACTCTCAAACGGCAATAAATATCTGGTCGTGAGCCTCAGATGTGGCTGGACACCAAGACCTACTGACTGACTAACCGACCGTCAGTCGCAATATGAGTTTGACTTTGACAGGTCAGTTTAGTTCTCGGTAGGAGACAGCTACGGGAAGTTTATAGAAGACCTGTTAAGACTTAACGTGTGAATTAAGACCTTGAGATTTGAAATTGTTTGTGTGTTATAGATGCAAAATCTTGAAAGTGTAATAACAATTTGTAGTTACGACGTGTGAAATTATCCGATAAAGTTAGATATCAAATCTGAGACCTATTATTTACTGTCGCGTTACCAGGATACACGCGACAATATTAATTAAAGATTAAATACTTTGCTACATGAGTAGTCAGATAGGCGTACTAAAAGTGAACTGTAATTAAAGACGATTGTATACGATTAAAGCTTCAAACTCTTTGAAAGATTTATGCTGTTGAATATCTTTCTCCGGACGATAACACATTTAACGATATTAAGAAGAAACATATTTTGATTGTTACATTCTAAGATTGCACCAGACTTAGGTGTATGTTCAAGTAAATGAATTATGTAAGATAAGTTCCATAGGAGCATACACTGAGGGTGTTTGAGAACAGGGTGTTGAGGAGATTATTTGGACCGAAGGGAGATATGGTGACAGGAGGTTGGAGAAAACTACTTAATGAGGAGCTTCATAACATTACTCTTCTCCAAGTATAATTAGAATGATCAAGTCAAGGACGATGGGGTGGGCATGGCATGTAGCACGAATGGGGAGACGAGGAATGCGTATAGGATATTGGTGGGGAAGCCAGAAGGAAAGAGTTCACTGGGAAGACCAAGGCGTAGGTAGGTGGACAATATTAAAATGAATCTTAGAGAGATAGGATGGGATGATTTGGATTGGATTGATATGGCTCAGGATAGGGACCAGTGAAAATCTCTTGTGAACACGGTAATGAACCTTCGGGTTCCATAAAATGCTGGGAAATTCTTGAGTAGCTGCAGATTTGGATTCTCCTCAAGAAGGGCTCAGCTCTATGGGTAATTAAGTAAGTTCCATACGAATATGCCTTCCAAGTTGTCGCATACCTCGTGAACTTGAATCTGCTCTTCCACTCCTGTCTCTTACTGGGGATTGCAGATGTTTGCGGCGCAAGTTGAAATTCCTCGGTTCAGGTTCAAATTGGTGATACCAGTTTCTAACATTCGACTACCCGGCGAGCAGGTCTAGTAAGCATTGACCTTCAATAATCGTCTTAGATCGAGAATCTGTTCAAGCTTCCTTCATCTACACCCACATAAATGTTGGCGCTATGAGAACAAGATGAGAAAGCGTGACTTTTTTTTTCCTTGGCACTAAAGCCCCAGTGGGCCTAGGCCTACCTCGATGAACTTCTCCGTTCACTTCGGTTTTTCTTGAGCTTACACATTCGGTGGACTCCTTGGACGGGTGATCAGCTCATCTCAAGGCGTCTACCTGTACACAGACACAGAGAAACGCACACACACAAACTAAACATCCATTCCCACTCAGGGAATGGATGTTTAGTTCCAAGTGAGCGAAGACAGTACATGCCTTAGACCGCTCGGCTACCGTGACCGGCGCCCTGTCCTTACATCCAAGTTTTGTGTATTATTTTTGGATTAGATAAAATACGAATTTAGATTCCTTGTATGTAAGTATAAATTTGTGTATATATACCGTATACATATATAAAGAGAGAAATGGATGCCATAGTAGTTTTTACATACTTACGCAAGTCACAATTTTGGTTTGAAATTGTGCCTAATGAAGAACAGAGAAGTAACACAGTTTTCAACCGAGAAAGAGAGAAGATATACGTAGGTATGAAGGGGATAAAGGAATGAGAGTAAAGGTGAAATATTATGCACTTTTTTCGTTGAATTTCGTCAAGAATTTTCTCAAATATATTTCTGTTTCTTTCTACGATTACCTTCGTCTGGGGCGTGCTGATTTGCATGAGAACGCCACTGAACCTGTACTGCTCCGAGAGGAACATGCTAGCCACTGAGCAGAACTTAAAATTCTCTTACAGGATGAATTATTATCATCAGCTCTCCTTAAGAAAATATGTCATTACCCACCACAGACTACTTTCACCACAGCAATTAACACGCCCTGTGCAAATGAGGCTTGAGGAATTATTGGGTGTCGCTCAGCACAAATGAAGAACGTTACAGCAGAAGAGCGAAGAGGCGAAATATCGTATATTTATATTTTTGAAAGAGTGCTTTGGAAATTTAAAAATGTGTACTGACTTAAGGTGCATTTCTTTCTGAAGCAAATCTATTATTACTAATGAAAGTTTAATTTCCCAGCCATACGGCAAAAGTACATTGAATTTTTTAGCAATGTTTTTTAAAATCCTGCAAAGACTGTTGTCGAAATTAATAATAATGTAATTAAAACACTTACAATGACCAAATTGTGTAACCTGCTGTTGCAACGCCATTTTACCTTTCCATTTTCTACGCCTATACTTTATTTGCCTTCATAACTTTTATCAATAAGACAAAATATTATTTCAGACAAAAATAACTAGAAGATAATATATTTACAACCTTCAGAGACTAGAAAAATTAATTATAAATCTTCAAATAGATTTTACATATAAAACATTTTATTGAAAAAGAAATTGATATTACCTAGCAAGTAATAATTTTGATTTTTCCATTCACCTTATCGAGTTTTGACATGGAGCTTGGGGGAGCGTTTATGTAACATATTAAAGAAGACTGATTTGTGTTTCATATAAATATCGGTATGTATTTCTACCAGCAGGAACCACAATTAAATTCTCTCTAAAACTGTTAATGCAAATTTCAGGTGTGCTGAGTGGTATACTTAGTAACTTCACAAAGGTTAATCAGTTCCGTCCAGTGTGACTAGTAAAGATATTTATTCTTTCAGTCCTTCATCTCTTATACATGTTTCGGTCTTTATAGACCATCCTCAGAGGGACATCAATACAATCGGAAGCCACTATTACAATATGTTTTTAATGCTAAAATATACATACAGTGCTGACAAAGTACAATGGGTACAAGATTTAATGTTTTAACGACTACAGCGGCTGTCTTAATATGTTAAAATATTTACAATTACTTTGTTAAAAATTTGTTGAAAGTCTTAAACCAAGTTTGTTCGTGTCCTTTTTATTATTTCTTCTCCTGAAGGAGGCCAAACGTGTACCCCCTTGTAGCTCTGTTTTTCTGGACAGAGGATGCTTTAATATGGTCCTGTAGATGTTCGAGGCGCGCTGTGTTCTTTGCAGGGTTTCTGCAGCAAGCTTCGAATAGAGCATTTTCATTTTCGACAGAAGTAGGTACAAAAAGTAAAGAATCTATCTCTGTAAGAAGCCATGCAGACCCATAGGGCTATGAAACGTCGAGGCTCCCACATTATCTAGAAAACCGACTCACAGACGGGTGTGAGGTTATCAGCCTTGCGCACCGGCCGCCCTTTACTCCCAAGGAAGATTCCTGGTACTTATTTCTGTTAATGACTAGGTTGACCCCAGGGCCATAGTGCGGCTAGAAGGATTAGGTCAATTGAAAATTCCAAATATCTCATCGGAATTCGAACCCGTGATCTTCCGGCTTGTAGCATAGTGCCTGAACCAACTACGCTACTGCGTGCCTCCCGACAGAAGTAGGAGTATACGACAAACATTTGTTAATTTGATCCTAAATGTAATTTTGTAATTACGTTCAAATTGTTCAGTAGTTGCATATCTTTACTCCTTAAATTATTCAGAAGTGTCTGCTCAAGTAATTAGAACCATTATGACCTGGTCTACTGCAGTAGCACGAAACGTGACGGTGTAATAGCAGGAACTTGAGACAGGCCTGTACACATCTGTGGGTTTCGAAAAGTGAATGCAAAATGACGTAGAACCACAGAAGAAGCTGTCGGGAGTCGAGGGTTTGAATTTATTATAAGGGAATATATTCCAGAAAACAAGAGAAACAACTTTCTGACGAGAGCTCAATTTTAACACCAACTTGAAATGAAGGAAAACTTAAGCAACGAAAGCCCGGACTAAGAAACCAAGTTGTACAGAATTACTGGTGTGAACAACTGACAAGTGAGCAGTTCTTAATTCTTTGAGATAAGTAAAGTGGCCTAATTTCTCTTTAAACTGCATTGAAACTCTGTTTCTTAAATTGACGCCTCAAAGACGTCAGATGGAGCCCAGGCCGATCATATATATGAGGTCCTCATTTCACTTCGAAGTTATAAAAATGTATGAAACTATTTAATAAATAATTTAAAAAATAAGATTTTCTTTCATCTCAATATTTCGTATGAATATCAATGAAAGGCCAAAAGTAATAAATCTACAGTTCGATTAAACGGAATTCCAGAATTTTTATTTACTTACTTTAATTTTTCAAAATTACGGAAGAGTATATTTTGGGCCCCCGAGGCGAGAGGCCTGGGTCATGACCCTGCTGGCTACTCCAGTACATGTCTGCTATGGAGTCTGGGCCTGAAGCCTTATAGCATTGTCTTAGTAAAACGTAATACTGACTGTAATTAAGCATTAGGAAAATTGAGAAAAGTAGCTTTGATACATTTAAATATATTTTATTAATGAAAAATAATTTATATATAATATATGCTGTTTGGAATGTGTTCCTTATGATAATAACATATTTACTATATACATATAGAAAGGCGGGTTTCATTCAGGATGAATTGGTCATCACTGAACGAGTAAGAATTTAATAGGGTCCCTGGTTCTGTCCTCTTCCCCTCTGCTGAGGTCCACTGGAATATCCGGCACCAGTGTCCTCGTAGCGGATCTGTGGTCTGTATCCTTCCTGGTCAGCCTCGTATTCCACGATCTGCAGCCGGCCGTCGGGCAGGAGTACTCGGTAGGAGCCTTGAGCACTTTCGTCCTGGCGACTTTCCTCTTGACTAAATTCGCTCCCACTCTCCGCGTCCTGAACTTCGTAGGAGTACTGGTAGTTAGCTGGCTCCTATTCCAAAGACAGACACAGATGTTCGGTTTAGTCTTCACACTGGTGTTGATTAGTTTTGATACTGGACATGCAGTAACACTTTATTCGTATCTATTATAGTCTTTGAAAACCGATAATACTTGATACGCAACTCTGAAGACGAATTGAGAAGCGAATGTTACAGTAGTAAGTAGGATTTAAATGGAATATTATTAAATCAAAGTATATTAGTTTCTGTCTGACAGGCATATCCGTAACTAGGATGATGCTCAGTGTTCAAACCAAAATTATTACCAAGATGTTATCAAAATTAGGTGATTCAGAAAATTGTCAACTAAATCAAAATATCCCGTTGTCAGGGCAGGTTTAGTCTGTGTGAAAACTGAACACAGTGCACTAATTTATTGACAATAATTATGAGTAAAAACTTACATACTACAGCCTTAAAGCTTAACCAAAAAAATGCCTTTCTTCGTATTGGTAAGGGAAGAATAACTGATGGGTAACTGCTTGTTCTCAGTATTCGCTAGTGAAATAATTTTCGAATGAAGTGGAATTTATGACTGCATTTATCTTACTATGAGCTATGTAAATCTTCCACTTGTGAAGGGAGTAAGAATCGTTGGTTTCTGCTACGTTAATGATTTGTTACTAATCATATTTTATTTATAAATTTGCGGCTGAGATAGTGGCATTTCGCATATACACACGTATAATACTAATAAAATTTCATTACATTTTCTGTCAGTTGTTTTACATAGCTATTAATGACTCCAAATTCTGATTAAGAAAACGCCAGAACGGTATTCAGCTCAATATTTAATATTACAGTTAGGAAATTGAGGCTACATTTTCATAACGAATATACTTTCACCTTTATAGTATGGAAATTTCTCGCATAAATACTTGACTGGCGAATAATTGCTTACAGCAAGATCGTCTTCCTGGGCACTGTATCCTCTTGAAGCAGCGTATCCAACTCCAGGGGCGTACTGTGAGCTTGGCGCATTGAATCGGCTGGAACCTGAGGGAGCACCATACTGCGTTGACAGAGAACTGGTACCCCCAAATCGGCTTGAGGCACCAGGGGCACCATATTGAGATGACAAGGAGCTAGCACCACCAAATCGGCCGGAAATTCTATTGGCACCGTGTCTGGTCGATAGAGAACTGAAACCTGAAATTCGATTTGAGGTACGAGGAGCGCTGTATGGAGTGCGCAAATCATAAGCAGCACCAGAACGACTGGCAGCATCATACTGAGCTGAAAGAGAGCCGGCAACACCGAAACGACTGGATACTCCAGGGGCACCGTACTGAGTTGATAGAAAGCCGGCACCACCAAAACGGCTCGAATCACCACGGGAATCAAATTGGGATGACAAAGCGCTAGAACCTGCAGTTGTACTTTGCTGTCTGGAAAGAGAGTTAAGATTTTCAAATCGATTTGAAGAAATGGGAGTGCCATATTGAGTCAAAGGAGCTTCACCACCGAATCGTTTGGACATGGCAACAGCTGCATACTGACTTGAAGGCACTCTGGAACCACTAAATTTGATGGAGCGTTGGGGTGTGCCGTACTGATTTGAGGGTGTTGGTGCACGGGTAAATGCATCAGGAACATTATATTGGTTAGAAGGCGCATTTACCTCTCCCAGTCTGCCTGAAGTAATGGAGGGGATACTAAATTCAGCAGATAAGTCAATACTATTTTGAGACTGGTTAGGGACTCCATATTCGGTAGGTGGAGCTGCATACTGAATAGGTCTAGGTGTACCAAATTCGGCGGGCGAACCATATAGATTTGATGGCCGAGACTGCTCATTCCTTTGCTCTACTGGAAGGTTCTGGCGACTAACTGGTGGCTCAGCCATTACGCCCACCAGAGCCGCTGCAGCGAGCATCAAAATCATCTGTAAGAAATATATTGTGTCTTTATGATTGGTTCTAGTTTTTAAGCAACACATGGTCTTAAATCGTTAATTTATATTCAAACTATTCGAGGATTTCTAAGATAAATAGTATTAGACTATTATTCGCATCTTCAAACGCACAGCAGTGAATGATGTTCAGAGTATTTCTTATCTCATTACTGACGGTGTCTCAATTGAAGAGGTTATGGTGCTTTGAATGAGAAGTAAGAATGACTATGCGGATTGAAGAAGAAGATAAATTTGTCGTACAAATTACTGCTGCAGAATTGAGCCATGATAAAGCCATGAATAACTTTGTGGTAGAAATTATTTAGCTGAAGATTAGCACTAAGTACCTTAGAGATACGACGCGAATTTGGCAACTTTAGTGTTAACTACAAAGAGATAATCAGTATTTTATTCTAGGCCAATCCCTTCTTGTGAACTTTATGTATAAATTCTTATGTACTTCGACTGCACTTTTCAATCTTAGTATGAGTTACCCCATTTGTAGTAGTTACTGGATCATCTAGCACGATATATAACTGAAAGTCACTAGCTTGAAGTAAAACGGAAATTATATTACCTTTAAAAGAAAACTGTAAAATAATCGATTTGTTTGGCTAAATTTATATTTATAAGATGGTGCTACACTAATAAATTACATGAACCCTCAACCAATACCGGAAGCAGAGAAATAGTAGCGTATAATTAGATGATCGTGTTTTTGTTTAATTTCCCACTGCTATGAATATACTTACATTATTAAATTAAATTAATTAACTAACTAATCAACTCTATTGGACAGAACATTTATTGAGAAGCTGACAGTTATTCATCAGATCAAGACATTTTCCGCCTTTAACTGAACCTGATTATTTATTTTCGTGGTTACAAGAGCACATCAACAATTCCTACCCTGATTCTGGTGAGTTCCATTTAACTCTCATGTTATATCTTTTAATGATCCATTTTAACACTGCCTTTCTATAAAAACCTATTAGTCGCTGGCTTCCCACCGCGGCGGGCCTGGTTCGATCCCGCGTCTAGTAAAGTGGGATTTGTGGTGGACAAAGTGGCGGTAGGGTAGGTTTTCTCCGAGTATTTCGGTTTCCCCTGCCAATCTTCATTCCACCAAATTCTCCATCATCATAATCTCCCGGGGCAAGCTGCAATAGGTCAATCAATGGCCGCCGTGCCGAGTGGACCCAGTTGGACTCCACCCCCCACTAAGAGATTTAAAAAAAATAATTCTATAAATACCTAGGTGTCCACAGTAGTCATTCTTCCTCCTGTTATCCGATTCATATACAATATGCTCGTTTCACATTCCATGCGTGTGACGTGCTCTGCCCACCTTATATTCTTCTAATTGGTTTCCCTAATAAAATTTGATGAGGAGTGAAAATTATTAAGTTTCATGTTACGCAGTCTTATTCAGGTCCCTGCTATTTCATCCTCCTTAGATCCAAATAATTTCTTGGACCCCATTCGCGGAATATAACAGAAACGGGTTTCTCATAATTTAAAGCAATTGCTTCTTCAAGAACTGTTCGGATAATGTATCTAGACTGCCCCTCAGGTTGCCTTTGTAAGTCTAGTCTTGATGTTCCTTGTCTTAACTAAGTAGTAGCCTAATGCGAAACTATTTTTCGCTCCCCACTTCTATGATATTTGCAAATAATACTGAAACGCAGTCCGGAACTTTTCACATAATGTTACGAGACGTTTTGTTTTGTGCTCATAACTTAATTAGTAGCATACGTGCTTGAAGTTGCTTCTTTTGGAAACAATACTACTTTTCTTTATTAATTTAATATTAATATTTTCTGGATATAAACATTCTTACGGGCAGTAGATCAACTGTTTTATCTAGTTCCCTTGATGAGTAGGTTCATGATAGCATACTTATGTCTCAGAGTATTTTTTAAAGATTTCTGGCACTTGAAGACATATTCAAGAATTATCAGAATCCTAACACCCTAACATCGAAAATGTAGCACAAAATGTCAAAGAAAACGAATTCTGTCCTCCCTTAAGTATATTGTCCTTCCTTTACAGGGGACTTGTATACCAGAAAATCAAAATGAATAGCAAAAGGAAAATACTACAATTATGTAGCTAATGATCTGCTGCGTCGTTAGTAGTCCTTACCTTATCCATACAAATATTGTTCTCTCTGTCGCAGGAGATCTTTGGTAATGAATGAAATTAAGGGCCGTGCGTGTTCTTTTATACCTCATCGGTTCGGATGTCATGACCCTGGATGTCCCCGGGAGAGTATGATATGTCTCAAGCGGATTAGAATGTAGGCCTAAGTTCTGGGCTGTGGTTGGTTGCTTTTTATGTACCTAGCATGTCGGCATGGCTGCGCACTATGAATAGTTCGGTTTTGCATCACAGATGCTTCATAAAGCAATTCCATCCCACCACCGAAGCGCATGCGTAAGGCGTAAGGTTTTCACATGCTCGTTGTGTGTAAGTGCCCTTGATGTTCGCTTCTTTAAGCAAGTAGACTGGTAAGCCATAGCTTACGTGCACGATTATGCAATGACCCGTCGATATCTTTGTGATCTAATTCTCATACGCAGCTTATGGTCGTTTATATGTTCAAAGAGATTTGATTTCATACCACGTCGTGAATCCTCCGTTGATTATTTGATGTCTCTGTTTACTTATACAGCAGGTGTAGGAAAGATGAATGCAGTACTAAATATTGCAATCGCTTGTAGGATTTAATCTATTAACCTAGAAAATTAAAGTTAGTGCGATTCGTGAATTTCTCTTTTAAACAAATAACCAGTATTTGCAGGCGCATGTGCCTTTCAAGTGCAAAGGTTGTAAGAGGCAAATGAGATGAGAAGAAAGTCGTACATGGGTAGTGGGTAAGGATCTGAAAGGGGTAGGTAGTGTTATGCGTTGAGGAACTTATTCCAGCATCAGTTTTCTGCGACTTAGAAAATCTAAATAAAATCCTAACAGGTAGCATATAATCCGATGAAATTCCATGGATCTATGCAGTTATTCGGCCCATAAAAAAATCTCTGGAATCCGAAATTTCGACATTGACTCCATTCTGAGCAATGCTTCTAGTCCGTCTCACCTTTCCCAATGTCGTTTCTCTTCAAGTATTAGTACAGATGCCGATCACGTGATGGCGCTGTGCAGGTAGCATATGGATAGCGAATTCGAATACCCAGTCACTCAGTCCTGCTTATACTTAAACAAAGGATATCAGAATTAAACATCACGCCAGTTATAAATTCTGAATAATGTATGACCAAAGCTCCATAAGATTTAGACACTTGCAGGTAAAGGCCTTACAATGAGCCAAACCTGCGTCTACCGAATATCCTAAACTTTAGTACCTTCAGAATTATTTCTGACTCGAAACAGAAGAGAAGGGCTGGGTCTAAGTTCTGGCAGCCGAGGAATAGAGTAAAGTAAAAACGTAAGTAAAGGTATCTCTGTAACAGGCCGTGGATGTCCATAGGGTTGTGAGATGTTGAGGTTCTCACATTTCCTAGACAATCGGCTCATAGATGGCGGTAAAGTTGTCAGCCTTACGCGCAGGTGGGCCTTTACCTCCAAGAATATTCCTGGTACTCATTTCTTTTAGAGGCTGAGTCGACCCCAGGGCCATAGTGTAGCTAGAAGGATTATGTGAATTGACTGAATCATCATATGAAGGACGTTAATTCATATTACTTCTAGAGGAAGTTCACGGTTTCAGCATGATAAATATTAATAATAATGAATTATGAAGAGAATATGAAATATTACTAATTTGTTTTATTCACGAATTCACTGTATAGCTTCTAAATATTTATGCACAATTGATGCAATTAGAAACACAGGTACGTAAGATATTAGGTTGCTTTGTGGGTTCCTTAAGTCGTATTGGAGAAATGAAGAAACCGTTTTGGAGGAATCCATTTGCAACTCATTTCAACAATCAACAATTATTAACTTTCTAATTACCGCATAACAAACAGTGTATTCAACTTTATAACCTTGTATTCTTGAAGTAGAAGAATAATGCCCTCATAAATAAACAAAGAACTGTTTCGAACGTCGTGATTGATTAACAATTTGCTAGGATTTAGGAAGGACCTATGTTCGATTTTACGCAAGGAGGCAGGCCAATGTATGTGATCCTGAACACTTTGTGGCAGCTGTTGAGATGATATCCTACAGCGATGCTCTTCTACTTCAGTATCCTGTCCAGTTCATCACACTCTTCCTTCGAACTCTAAATAGCTAATGTTGTTGAGAAAGTATCGTTAAATGTAGACGCCTTTGTTTTTTTCCATCTTAGTTAGTTAGTTATTGGAGAGGGTGAGTTTCCCCATGCACTTAGCCCAGTATTGGTCCATTGTGCTTCCCTCTATGATATTCTATCAGTCTCTATACCCTACCGATATTGGTGCGTACCATCAGTCCCGACCGAGCCAGCGAGTTCGGCCTCTACTGGCTTGGCGGTATCTATAATGCTTCCCCCATCTATCAGAGATGTTAGAGACTACTGTTGGGCGAGAAACGTCCTTGAATTTGGCTCAGTGACCTCCTTTGGAGATATGAGGTTCTTTTACGTGCTGTAAAGCTACGACACATAGCCCTTAAAAATTCGACGACCTCCGCCGGGTTTGAAACCGCGTACCACGAGTCATGAGGTGGGAACGTTACCTCTAGACTACGGAGGCCGCTTTTGTTTCCATCTTGAACTGTGTCGATTTGTTGTTGTTGTACTTGTGTTGACAGAGGAACATCCTCCTACTGCGCTGTAGGAATTACAGTTCCGCAAGAGGAACGATGGATACGTGTTTTAGGAGTATATTCAGAAGTAATTCCTTACACAATAAGAAAGAAGTACATTCAAAAGAAATGCCCCCATGCATTGTCATCGCTGCAGATAGATTTAGTAGATCAGCGGGTTTGTCGTTTCTTTGAAAAAAATTATGGTACTTGATAGATATATAAATGACCTAATATATCATTTTGTCTGTTTACCTTTCTTTTCCGAAAATACCGGATGTTCATTAATACGATAAAATTTACAAGTCGTAGGATTTGTGGTTCTCACAGCAGTGGCTATGAACTGGTCTATCTTCTGAGATATAGCGCCATGTATTTCGTTGAAAGTAAACCGACGTTTCGGAGGAATATATCGCCTCGCCGGTTGACTTTTAACGGACTACACGGCGTTATATTTCAGAAGATAGAACTCTTAATTTACAAGTCTTTTGCAAGAGTTGTAGTTTTTTAAGTGGGTAGATTTTTGTTTTTCTTTTCTGAAATTTATCATCCCATATTTATAGCGATGTTTATGATTACTGTAAAGGGGAGATGTTTGTGAATTCATGAAATAATAATAATGAATTATTTGTAAGTAATATCCTATAATAGGTTAATATTTAATTTAGGATAACGTTGAAAGTGCTATTATGTTCATATTTGGATTTGTTATATAAATGAATACTGAATACATGCACATATCTTACATAAATACGAGGTGCATGTTATTAGGTCGGAGTACACGAGAAAACATCTTTAGCGTTCCTGATGATTTTTGCTTCACGAAACACAAATTCATGAAGTAATACATTTCTGTGATAGTTTATTTGGCCTCAAAGTGATGGATTTCATTATTTCATATTGTGACATGTCTGCTGAAAGTCGGAATGGAAGAACGAGAGAAGATATTCGTTGCTAAACAATGACTCTGTAAACACATTTTTAGGGCAACCATATCACGTAGCGGCTGCAACGGATACAAATGCAACAATAGAAGGACGCTTGAAGGCAGTATTTCTTATGCGGTCTACGCATAGGTTATGCAAGGAAAAGTAATTGGAACCAGAACGACTATATACGCGACAGACCGCAAAGAGGGTTATGTTCTCAGAAAGCTGCAAAGAGATCTCAGTGCTATTGAGACTTGGTGTGAGCGCTGTAACATAAAACTCAATACCTCACTTCCTGCAAGGTTGGCAACAAGCTCATCAGAAACTGATATTCGCTATCCTGCTTCATTTGAGAACTCCTTTCGAAGTAGCTAAACTTTTTAGATTCTATTTCCAAGAATTTATCGTAATTAATTCTTTTCTTTCATTTCTTTAGCGGACTTTTGAAATGTTTATTTTGTGCCGGAGACGTATCTACAGGTGCATCATTCTCCATATCTGATTGAAAATCTGGAATAGAAAATGCTTCATTCGATTCACTTTGTGTTGTATTATTATCAGTGCCTGTCTCGATACAGCCTTCCGAAACGACAGGAACACTACTCGACGTATTACTCCGTTGAACAGTATCAGTTAAACATCGCAGGTGGTTGAAGAAAGGCAATTTAGGCTCAGCTGACCTGTCTCCGGCACCACCAGATCTTTTGAAGTTGTATTTCTTCAGTTCCTTCCTGAACCTGTTCCTCAGTCCCCTCCATCTCTTTTTAACGTCCTCAACTGAAATACTAACAGAAATACCGGAAATAATACTTGCATACCCCAAACAACTGATAAAATTACAAGAAGTATGTTATTCTGTTCAGGTATCTAGCAACTGGATCGTCGTTCAAAACGCTGGGGTACTCCTTTCGAATGTCAGATGTAACCGTTGGGAGAATTATTCACGAAACGTGTAAACTGATATGGGAATCGTTACACAATGAACACATGCCATTTCGTTCGGAAGAACAAGTAGATCGCATAGCCGCTGCATTTTGTAAGAAAGGGATATTTCCAAATTGTGTGAGAATCATAGACGGAAAACATATTCGAATTAAATGCCCACAACATTCTGGTAGTATGTTCTTCAACTACAAGAAATATTTTTCTGTCGTATTGCAAGCAGTGGTAGGAGCCGACTACAGGTTCATCTGTGTCGACATCGGAGCCTATGGAAAGCAGAGTGATAGTGGTATCTTTGGTCACTCCAGCTCGAAAATGGCGCCCTTATGGTCCCATAAGTACCTTCTTTCTTTAACGAGGAGAACTAACTTCTCGACATTCACTGTACAGCAGCGCAGCTGCTCGTCCGAAAAATCCAAACTAATCTGAACAGTGTCGGTACCAATGGACGCGGTCCAACTTGATCTATTAGCGGGTTCGGATCGTTCGGTCGTTTTCATGCGTGTTCGGACGAATCCCACATCGCAGGTGTTCGCATGTTTCCGCGTTCAGTGGA